GCAGAGTGCTTCTGGGAGCCAGGGAGGGCAAAAATGGGACACGTGGAAGCCAAAAACTATTTTTTTCCTTGTTTTCCTTCTCTAAACCTAGGTGTGTCTTATGGTCCAGTACGTCTTATAGTCTGAAAAATATGGTACATATTACATAATGCAAGCTATATAAATGGACATAAAACCTTATAAAAATATACAAAATTCAATTATGTAATGATATAAAGATTGTACAAACAAGAATATTTGGCTTTGGGATTTAATGGATAGCCATCAACCCCAAACAAGGAAAGTTTTATTGTAACAAAGAACATTTCTTCCTATTTTCACCTTAATTATAGTATATTTGCTCGTTTTCCCAGAAACATCCTTTTATGTACAGAAAATAAAAAATGCAGTGTAAAAGTCAAATTAGTAGCAAACCATATTGTGGTTGCTTGAAAAATCCTGGAAACCCAGAATGTTAATAATAAAATTAAAATAAAAAAAAGTAATAAATTTTCACATCATTGAAATCAATGGTGTGATTTACCTCTGAGTGCACTCTTTGAATGTGTGATTGAAGGTTGCCTTTCTGAGAAAAGGCTGCAGGGCAAAAGGCACAAGGATGCGGTTTTTCACCAGTGTGTTTGATCATATGGGTTTGCAATGCACCTTTCTGATTAAAAGCCTTTCCACATTCACTACACTTAAATGGCCTTTCACCTAAAACAATGCACACATCAAACAAAAGAAATACTTTCTCATCAATAAAGGCAGCATTAGGTAAATGGAAAAAAACAAATATCTAAAAAGCCTGCATAGTTAAAAAAAATATATACAATGATTTAAGCTACAAACTCAACAGGTTATTTTCATCCTATGCGATTATAGTGGCTATTGATAGATGCAAAATTGTTCAGATTTATGCCAACAAATTAACTTTAAATTTGCTGACATTTTTTTTCTTTGATGGGAACATATGGGTTGGAAATACATATCAGGCACCCATTCAATCTTTTTGGTGCTTTATTATTATTATTATTATAGTTTTATTCCCTGAAATCCTTTGAATGCAATCCCTATGCAAAGATAGATATGATTTGCACAGAGCTGTTTAGGAAGGACATACATGGAAAAAATCAGCAATCTGGAATTTGGTGAAAAACTAATTAAATTATTTTCTGTTTTTTTTTTCCCCAAGGATTTTTTGTGATGATTTTTCTTTTCTTTTTCTTATCCTTTCATTAGTACTCATCTAAAAAGTCTTACTGAATTGTTACCAAATTTCACTATAATATTGGGAAAAAAGCAAAAATTTTGATTGTCAAAGATTTGTAGGAGTGAAAACTTTTTAGAATATCTTTATTGATAAATTTGAAAAGTAAATTCGCCAAATCCCAATGACTGCATTGCTTCAAATGTTTGTTAAACTTATCACAATATACAATATATTTACAATTTTGGAAACCGAAATGCTGATTTCTTGCACAACAAGATTTCTTGTCTGAAACAGACAAAAGCAAATATTGCTGTAGCCAAAATTTCCATCACCCCATTCTCACAATAATGAAAATGAACATCTGTAGTGGGAAGTCTCTTTTCTAGCCACATAGGATAATCTTGACTACAGAAAATTTCCACAAACAGATGAAGCTCATTACTTCAGAAGTTTACCTTCAGTGAAGGGTAATATTGGCATGCATTGTCAATGTAGCACACTCATATAATCCTCATCTGTTCTAAGGATTACTCAGTGGTAAGATGTGGATATTTACGTTTTTAACATAACATTTGTGCCAGATCATTTTTAAGCTTTTTTATAAAGAATTAGTAAAGCAAAAATTTGCATTAGTAAAAATTGAATTATGGACATACACACAAAGCAAAAAAACGAAAACAAAATGGATTTCATAGGGTTACCAACAAATTCAAATATATGCTTGATGCATTTGTTCACCTTACCTGTGTGTATTCGAACATGTCGTGTTAACTGACTTGGTTTCTGGAAAGTCTTTCCACAATGTGGACATGAATATGTAAACCCACTTCGGTCAATATTTCTATTATATGACCTGGTATTTGATACCCTATGAACATAAAAACAGCGGAACATCAACATTATTTTAAACATAATCATCAGCAGATTTTAAAGTAGACTAGTTTTCTTATTATTTCAACTATTAACAATCCAGAAAATTACAATTAAATATTTTGTTCAGATATACAATAAAATAGGTGCCTTGATAGTAAGATTATATAATCATGATTATGGACCAAATGTTTTTGTAATAAGTATTATATGTGACACCAATAACAAAGAGCAACAAATGCCACACTTTTAGTGCTGAAACAGTGATCATCTTAATTTTTTTTTCTACCAATATTCAGAAAGTTTGGACTATTTAGGACTGCAATTACATTTCTATTTGATCAAAAAGATGTTCTAATTTAATTAATAAAAAGCACAGATAACAAACACCGTATTAAAATAGGAATTCTTATATGGAGCACCTTTACTAAGGTTACGCATCTGACAAATGTGCATTAGCAAACAAAACCTCCAAATGCATAATTAACCAATAAATTAGTTGATTAATCAATTAAAGTTTACATGATTAATACATTAAAATGTCTCCAAACCAAGCTGCCATCCTTGTTGAAATACATGCAGTGGGACTGGATTGAGGGATAGTGTCAGTCCTTCATAGAAAGAAGAAATGCTGTCTAAAATATCTGAGATAAAGAATTGGGAATTCACTACATCAGGCTAGTTCTCAGCCAATTTTTAACACACAAAAAAGGAGGGAAATGTAGGTAGCAGAGACCACACATAATCAACCACTGAACATCTGGGCTCCACATGGACACTGTTTGTCCACATACCATTATTTGCCTGCTGTAGAAAAAGAGTTTGCGCTGCTCCTCTACCTCACGAATAGACGTGCTGTCCCAGCGAATGAAGGAATCGGGCCTAAGAGTGTAAGTAATGTGTCTAAATTGCAATTGACCTTTAAGGAAACTTTCTCAGTTTCATAAATTCATTTTTTAGACTGAAAGATGTATTCCTGTCAGCTGCTCACTCCAATAAATGCTAGGAGGTTATTTCATTCCAAATTCTTTATCCTTTGTTATGGAAAGGTTTTTTACTGATTGAGGACTTCAGCAAAAACTTTTCCATAACAAATTCCTGCTTTCTTTACATAAAATGAATTGCTGCATTCTTTACATATCCTCCATTTTCTGTTTTGATTATAAGCAGGACAAAATATATCCTCAGAAATCTGGGGATAGCAAGCTCTCAATTCCATTCCCTACCATCATAGGATATAATCTGTTTCCCCTTTCCCCAGGATGTTAAAAATCACAAGATATGATATCTGGGGCTTTTCCAGAACTATTAAAAATCATCCAGCCATGTTTCTGAGAATGCCACAGAATGGTAAGTCAACCAGAGCAGTTTATTATCACATAACCTACTTGTGAACAAATGTAAAGAATCGACGATTTTCACCTTATTTTATAGTGAGTTTTCATATGTTCCTTCAGTTGGGAAGCAGTTTCAACCTCTTTCTTACAGGTTTTACAGATATGGGTTTTGCTTCCAGACAGCTCTTGGCGATGTTCTTCCATATGAAGGGCCAACTGGCTCTGCAAAGTGAACTCATCTCCACATTCTGAACAGATGAGATTCTATAAAGGTAATGTCAGCTTGATTACTTTCTGGAAATATGTAAGTATATTTTATGACATTTAGGAAAGTGAACAATTTTTAAAAAAAAATTAGAAAACCCAGCGGACTTGTATGTAGTTCTCAACTTACAATCAGTCGCTTAATGAACATTCAAAGTTATGACAGAGTCTAAAAAAGGTTCTTACAACATGTCCTCAAAGTTATGAATGTTGCTCCACTCCCGCAGTCACATGATTGCCTTTTGGAATACTTTTTTGCCATTTTCTGGCAAAAAACACCCATTGGATACAATGGGTTTGTACTCATAACCATGTGGCTTGCTTAACAACCAGTTATTTCCTTAACTATAATAAAAAATGGCCATAAAATTGAGTTTAATCATATGCCTCAAGTTATGACGCAACAACTTATGACCGAAATTCCAGTCCCAATTGCGCTTGTAACTTGAGGACTATGTGTAAATGGATGTATCACATCTTTTCTTACCACTACATCAATATCAAACTAAAGGCTGAGTAAATGCAGGATTTCATTATCAGAGGTTATAAAGCAAATCTATAAAATCTTCTCAAAACTACAATATATACAACACTGATATATTTATAAAATCCAACGAATCACATGATTTACCCAATTGTACTTTGGTCAGGGATGTACTTTTCAAACTAACTTAAAATATTCACGTAAGTATAAAATTAGTACCTAAATGAAAAATCAGATACTGATTTTGCACTTGAATTTCATTTTGCAGTTTAGATACATATAATAATATGTTTTTAGATATATAGTTGGGAAATAAAAATTTTCAATATGAAATAAGATCGTCAATATGATCTTGCCATTATTTGTGAACTGTTGCAAACAGTTGCCTGCATTCGCTCCCCTAATAACCATTCTGATGCTGAAATTATACTTTCAAACACAATGTTATAAATAAACTCAAATCACAATATATCAATTTGAATCTTAATTCCAAATTGGAATCAACCTAGGGTATATAAAGAGAAAAACCAGATCATAGTTACATAGCTGGAGTTAAATCAAAAGTTATTTAATATAAAGTCAGATACAGTATCTATGCTTATAACATTATTATCCTGAAAGGCCTTTGATGTAAGACAGAAGAAAAGCTGTGCATGGTATTTGGAAGTAAGTACTATTAAATTTATTTAAGAATACATCAAAATTTAGTAAAAGAAAATATTAGCTTCTTATTAAAGTTAGAAAATATATTCTTTTTTTCCTTACATAATATTAAGAATCAATTTAAGCAATATGTCAAAATAGATACTTTAACGTCAAATGCTCATATTGTACAAATATTTAAAAATAAATATAATTACCTCTTCTTTTTCATGAAGCATAATATGAGCTTTAAGACTAGCCACTCTTGAGAATTTTTTGTTGCAAACAGGACACATAGGATCTTGCCCATTGTGAGTACATTTGTGCAATGTAAGATTGAACTCAACATTAAATGACATTGGACATTGGTCACACTGATGAGGCTGTTTATAAAAAAGAAAAATGAAAAGTAAATTTAATAAGCCTATAAAGGAGGGAATACAAAGTATTTTTTCCAAACTCTCTAGGAACTTGTGTCATCCTTGACAGTACAGTTTGTACATAACTTTGTATACAAGTGTGTTTTATAAACCATCAGCATGTAGATACCCTGAAGTCTACATGAAACAATCCCATGCCACTGAACTTTAAATATTTCCTTTTAAAATATTCTCTTTCTATAATCTCGGATTTCTAATTTCCAGTACAAATTTTACCACAAATATATTGTTTTATAATCTTTATAAATTGTCTGTAGGTAGGGAAAAAAAATCTAAACAAAGTTTAGGCATTTGAGGCTTTGTTTTTTAGCTCACAAAAACACTCAAAGGATAGAACAATAGCTAAGAGATAGTCATTGCTGAAATTGGAATAAAATATTCTTATAAAATGAGGGGTTTTTTCTGTTTTTCTCAAATACATATAAGGGGAAGGAAAAAAAATTCCATAAACCATTTTTTTTGCAAAATTAAGAATCTTGAAATTTAAATCATGAAGTAATTGAAGAAAATATGCACACTTATTTGTACATCAATTTTCTCATTATTATTTTTTTCAAAATTAAGTGAGATACATACCTTGTCATTTTGCTCATGATCCCTCATGTGGCGCCAAAACAGTGTGTCTTTTGAAAAAGACCAAAAGATTCACACTTACAGAAGTCTGAAATTTGCCAGAGATAAGTATTATTCTACATTCAGTGCTAGAACACCATCTACAAACAAAGACAAAGTATTTTAATGAAATTATATTTTTCATTAACTAATCATGCTTAGCAAAAATTGTACATTTAGATGGTTCTACTCTCATTTTTAAAGAAGATATATATGGCTGAAACTGACTTATTTTTATTTTTTGTTAGATTTCCATCCTGCCTTCACTCTGTATTTTACCATAACAACCCTGTGATCTGAGAAGTGGAGGCTGTCTCGAAATGAATCAGTGAGCTTTTCTGATTGAGTGTAGACTTGAACATAGGTCTCCCAACACTTTAAACACCATTTCAACAACTGTTAAAAAGACCATGAAATTCTTTAATTTATTCTATTTTAAATGCTAAGTTTAAAAACTCAGGAAACTAATGATAAAATAATTACAATAATAACTTCTTAAAGTCAGTTCAGTAAGTGTTGCAATGAAATATCCTTCATGAAAAGATCTAGTTTTAAAGGCCAAGAACAAAAATTAAGAACATCTCCCAAATATTGTTTTCTTTTTTTAGATAAAAATTAACAATTCAAAGGGAACTGAAACATTTTGTTACTGAATGGAATATACTTCAAAAGACCATTTTTATTTACTCATTATCTGAGTATGAGATTGGATATTTCCTGAATGTATCACTAGAATTATAATTATGGATTTGACGTATAATACATAATGTAGTATAGTATATAGCTTTAAAAAGCTTATCTTTCACAGGACCCTGGGACACTGCAGCTATCATAAATATGAACAAGTTGCCAACCCTCTGAATTTTGATCAGGTGACCATTGGGATGCTTCCATAGTTAAGTGTGAAAAATAGTCATAAGTCACTGTTTTCAGTGCCATTGTAACTTTCAGCAGTCACTAAATGAACTGTTGTAAGTCAAGGACTACCTGTAGACTAATTTAATACATTAAGTTTCAAAAATACAACTGCGGGATTCAAAATTTTCAGGACAGAGATTAACTATGAAGCAAAGTATTAAAATTTTTAGCCTTTTCAAACTGAATTTGCTAAGTACTAGTATAGAACAACAATTTGCCTACTTGTCACAGTATTGACAATGAGATGTAAGGAAGTTTTTATCACAATCTTTTACCACACTTGATTTTAATCAGTTGAGTAAACCTTTTCCCTGTTAAACCTATAGCAGCATGATTCACTCATACTGGATTATTATGTTCACTGGGTATACATTTTTATCAATTCTGATAAAACAGCAAACTCTTAAAAACCAGATTTAAGGAAATAATTGGATAGTAAATTGGGAATATACATGCAGAAATCAGAGTGTTAGAACTATTCTAACATCTTATTGTTGTCAATTAGGGCTCTTTGTGTAATTTGAACTAGATCTAGTATCAGTTCCAGTGTAGGTCTGTTAGACCTATCATATACCTGCTGTCTGAATGTGATCCTATATATAATGAGCATACAGCAGAAAATATATCCCAGTTACAATGTATCCAGCAAGTGGTTATCCAAAATTCATTCAATATGCACATATTTCAGATGATCAACACCAGTCTGCATTGCTACATCAAGGAAAAGGCCACATATTACACATACACACATTACACATACTCTGTTTGCAGATACCTTCAATTGGAAATGGAGACGGATGGAAGACAGAACAATATAGGAACAAGTAGAAAACAGAGTCTGAGATATCAGTATGTGTCTCAGTGAGGCTCCAGGCTCCTATATATCTACAGATCTGTTCTTTCAGATATCAACTGCAACATGGAGAAGCAGTGGGGCAGCACAATGGAGTAAAAGATGAAGGAAGCTATTGTAGAGAGGGTAAAAGCCATACCTAAATTCTAACCAGATTGCAACTATCCAATTTTGCATTTCTCACCTTAGTTTTGTTTGGAAAGAGTTCAAGGAACAGGTCTTATCTTATTTTTTATGGCTGAGTTTAGGGCAATTGATTTCAAACTATTAAAAAGAAAATCTGGAGGGAAACAGATTGATGATGCCTAGGAAATAAAGAAACCTTCCATACTTTTTTTTTTGGGGGGGGGGGGGGGATAGCAAAAAAAATTATTAATCAGTTTTAGATTCCTTGAAGTTTACAAGCAAGGAGGATCTTGTGGATTCTAACTGCTGATGGTCAGATCAAATTCGGGGCCATACCCCATCACGATGGATCAGATGACAGCTAGAAAGCCGCCGGTCTAGCAACTAGCAGAGGTGTCATTTTAGGGGGTGGGAGTTTGCCCCCACCCCCCATTCCTCCTTTTCTCTTTCTGCTCTACAAACGGGACAAAGCCAGGCCCAACCAGGAAGCTTCTCAGCCAAGGGGGCGGGTAGGGAAGGTTGATCCTCGTCCACTTTCTCCGAAGGCGAAGTCGGCTGTTTATTTTTATTTTTCCCGTCTCACACTCAAAACAACTCTTCCCTCTAACCCGGCCACCGACCGACCTAACGCAGCTCTGCAAAGGTCTCTTTCCCTAACTGCACTGTCCCTATTTACTGGCCGCAGTCAACCGGGAGAAAGAAACGGGCAGCCTTCGCTCTCCCTCCCTCCCTCCGTCCGTCCTTCCTTCCTCTTCCCCGCGCTCGAGCAAGGGAAGACAGAAACCGCCACCCTCGCCCGTCACGTCGAGAAAGAAGCGGACGGGAACGCCACCCCCGCCCGCCCCCTTCCAAGCTCCGAAAAGAGGAATCCAATACATTTCTACCTACCGCCGGAAGCGCAGCTGGCGGCGGAGGGAGGAAGAGGGACGGACGGTACCTACCGCCGGAAGCGCGGCTGGGAGGTTAGAAGAGGGAACGGACTCAGAGAAGAGGAAGGGGAGGGAGGGAGGGAGGGGAAGGCGGGGATGTTTCTCAGGGCGGAGAGCCCACGTGACCCGGCACGAGGCGAGCGCGACTCGCGAGCCAAGGAGGAAGAGGCAGGGTAATGAGTTGACATTGGGGGGGGGGGGGGT